CTACAATCAGGAAGAGGCTAAGAGTGGCAGTGGGTGCCTCCCAGGCCTTTTCTCCTCTCCCTGTAATGCCCTTGTCCCAGCTGCTTTTGACCCATCTGCCTCCAAGCAGCCCTTGGGCAGGCTGGCCCCCCAAGGACATCCACTTGCACACACCGCCCCCCATCCCATCTCCACCATGCCTCCCATGGACTGGTCTCCCGAGTCCCGCCCTCCTGCCTGCTGCTTCTGCACACAGCACTCCCATCAGTCAGATGACTCTGCACCAAGTGACCTTAGTGACAGCTTCGTTGAACGGCTGCAGGGCTGAGCCGCTGGATTAATAAGCTGCCAGAGTCCAGCATCCACTTGAGGAACTGAATTGCAAGGCTGAGTGGAAGTCTGCAAAGCACACCATAAAAAAGCCTCTTGACTAGAAATCCACTAGAGCTACCGATTCTGAGTAGGACCTGTGTCAGGTTAGAGCACACAGGAACCTGTGTGCTCTGTCTATGAACAGCAATGTTTTCAAGGATCATTGACACAAATGCTTTTCAACTTCAAGCAAAAGCAAGCACTGTTTAGCTGGGGATTTCTGGCCTAAGAACTCACCAGAGTCTGCCTGCCTGGCTTCCCAATCTGAGGACTGAGTGTCTCAGGGCCAGTACCCACCCTGCAGTTCTGGGTGGGTTGTAAAGATCACTTGGTTAGGAGTTGGGTCTGTCCGCTCAGGCTGCTGTACCAAAATTCCACAGACAGGGTGGCATATCGACAGAATTTAATCTCTCTCAGTGCTGGGGGCTGAGATCTGAGACCAAGGTGTCATGGGCTGGTTTTTCCCAAGGCTGTTCTTCTTGATTTAGAGGTGGCATCTTCCTCCTGTGTCCTTCCCAGCTCACCTCTCCTGGTGTGTCTGTGTCCTGATCCCTCTTCTCATCAGGACACCTGTCACGCTGGATCAGGTCCCATTCGCACGAGCATTTCAATGGAGTCGGCTTTTTGGAGACTCTGTCTCCAGATGCAGGCACATGCAGAGGTCAGGCTATCAGGATGAGAATTTGCAGGGGTCACTGCTCACCACACAACAGGTGTCGATCACCAACTCCGACCCTTCCCATGGGGGCCCTCAAGGAGGAAGTGTCTCATCCAAGAGAGACATTCCATTTCCAGAGCCTACTCCAGACCTGATCAGGAGGGTTCTGGGAGTCTGAGAGTTTATTAAGTCCCTGTGGAGCCTGGCTCAGGCATCATGGGCCGATGTGTGGGAAACTTGGTCCTGAGCACTGCTTGGCTCACCTGATTCAGTCTTCCAAAATGGTTCAGGGTGGCCACAGTGCATGGGAAAATCATTCTATAGAAAAATACTCATGTGGGTTGCAGAGAATGGGAGGGGAGTGCACAGTACAGGGGGATGTTTCGCTTTCAATTTGGAAGATGGAAGACAGATCATGGGCACTGTTGGAGAAGGTACAACCCAGAGCTATGGTCCCCAATGTCCACGCAGGGCTGAAGGCAGGGAGGGAAGCTGGCTGGACCCCTGGGCGGTGAGAGGAAGGGGAACTCAGTGGAGAGCTGCAGCCTCCACCTCCCCCTGCACTCTCCCACCCAGCTCTGCCTCTGGGATAGAGAGCCAGTTTGGGCGCCTGGCTTGGGCAGGAGGAGGGGCCCTGAGGGTCTCCAGCTAATTACAGTGAGGGTGGGCAGCACTGTGGTTTGAATGTGTTCTCTGGGAACTTGATCTCTAATTCCCTGTGTTGATCATATCTGGAAGTGGGGGCCTTGGAAAGTAATCAGGTTAGTTGTGGTTATAAGCGAGGAGACCCCGTGATGGCATTAGTAGCTTTATAAGGAGAGAGAGACTGAGTCAGGACATTTGCTCTTTCTCACCCTAAGATCCCTGGGCCACCTCAGGACTCAGCAGAGGATCCTTCAGCAAGGAGCTCGGCAGGAAGTCCTAGGCCACAGGGCCGTGTGTGGCCTTGAAGGGGACTGTGGGACCCAGCCTCTTCTCCTCTTCCTCTCTTTGGCTCCCTGGCCATGAGGTGAGTGATTTTTTCCCACCATCTGTGCCACTTCAGGCCTTAGAGCAATGGGTACAGCTGGTCACGACTGAACCCAAACAGACCTTGCCCTTAAGGCAGGTTGCCTCTGTCTCAGGCACACAGTGACAAAGCTGACTAAGATGGTGGTGTTCAGTGTGACAACAGCAAGTGGATTCTGACAGAAGAAAGTTCTGCCATTCAACCACCCACAGCAGACAGATGGCATTCAAGGCTCTGAATCGAGGAAGGCCTGGAAGCATATTACCTGGAGACATGGAGGTAAACACACAGGAGGACAGAAGTGGGATGAGGGACCTGGGTAGCCTTGGGGCCTGTAGATTGAAGATTCCAGCTTGGCAGTTCTGGGGTGAGATCCTGAGATCCTGCTCACAGGGAAGGAGCCCCGAGCAGCCAAGCTCCAGGGAGTGTGGCTCCAGGTGGACGAGGTGCTATGTGTCACCTGTGAACAGCCTGCACTTGGTTGGGTTCTCTGGCATCTGTGGCAGAAGCTGACTACAGTAACAGAGACCCAGGAGTCGGGGGCTGAGAGCGAAGTGCATTTCCTTCTCATGGAGAAAGAGCAGGTGGTGTCCAGGGGAAGCACCCTTCGTGCTAACATCAGAGGTCCAGCAGGGCCAGAGAGTCTTCTCAGCCTTGCCTTTCAGAAGGGGCAGGATGGGAGGGGGCTTCTGAGGGTGGGGCAAGGCTGGCCCTGGCCACACCTACCTGTTCCTGCAGGAAGGGACTACAGACCTGGGGACAGGGCAGAATTTGCGAAAGGGAGGACAGGTTGTAATCAGGACAGGATGGTCAGGAGACTGCGGGGACAGAAGGGAGGCAGAGAGAGCTTGTGCTCTCAGGTGACCAGTGTGTCACACCATCCCCATCAACTCAGAGACAAGGGGCTTTATTTAGTAAATAGTTGTCATGGTTTATGTTTGTGTCCTCCAGGCCTCATGAGTTTGCATTGTTCATTTGTGATGGTTCATTGTCTAGTGCTTGGATTGATGGTGTCAGTGCTCCACCCACATAGGGATGGAGCCAGGATGTGATGTAATGGCAGGAAGAAGGTGTGTTTCTCTTTTTGCTGGTTCGAGCTTGCTGTTTGCAGCCGCCATGAACGGCGGTCCGGTCATGCCCACCTGTCTTGGAGCCAACTGAGTGTGGACTGAAACCTCCAAAAACTGTAAGAAATAAACCTTTCCGTTTCCAACTTTGGGCTTCAGGTATTTTGTCTCAGCGATGAGTAAAAAGTAACTAAGACAATAGTTTTGGTGCAACAAACTATGCAGAAAAAGCACAGCTGCCTTACTCTTCATCAGGTGTGCAGATTACTGGGGAATAATATAAACAGTGAAATAATCTGATCTTCAGGAAAAACCCCAAGGAAATATAAGCATATTTAAGCTCAGAGTCAGAAAGATCTTTTAACAGTCACACTAAAACCCAGAAATTCTGGCTAGGTATGAATGATTCCATGAAAGAGTTTATCTACAATATGTGTACACACACACACATGTGCATATCTTAAATATCATATGCTTAAATATACACACATATGCAGAAATGGTATACACGAAGATACAACCAATCAAAAGATGATGTTACACTGGAAAAATGTTTGCAATGCTTATGGAAGACAAACAAGTAGTACAACAATATATAAAGCACACTTAAGGATTAGTGAAAAAGAAAATGAAAAGACGGCAAGATACATGAAAAGATAGTAAGTAGAAATAATCACTATAGGAAATGCAAATTCACAAAAATTACCAAAAAGTAGTATCTTTTGTTGCTAGTGAACATGTGAGGAGAGGCCATTCTTTCACTGCTGGTGTAAGTGAGAATTACGGTAACCCTCTGGAGAACAGTCCAGTAATGTGTATTAAAATTTAAAATATGTGCACCATAATACAGCTGCCCCACACATGAGATTCCCCCAGCTGAATGGTGACACAGGCATCTGTATCTGCATAGGAATTCGTACCACAGCGTCTTTCTACAAAGGCAACAGTAAAGATCGCTGTGGGCTTTAGCTTCCCGGCAAGCAGGGAATCAGCGGGGATGTGGAGGGTTTACCATACCACGAGCAGCCAAGGCGTGGTGCACAGAATTTGTAAGATATGAATCCTCTAGGAAACACAGAAACAGCTGGGAGTGTTTTAAGATGTTAGCACACAATTACATGTGTATGGAAGAAATGAGTTTACTCAGAGGAAGTGTGAATACTTTGAAAAGAGGTACCCATAAAGGAACCATGTTTCCTATAGAAATGCGACCATGATAGGAAACCAATTAAAAAATCAACCCTATGCAGTCAATATGGAGAGATCTACACTCGAGGGTGGAAACTAATGCGATCAGATGTTTATCCATTCGGTGCATAGCAGATGTTTCTGCTTTTGAACATTGCTCAGCCAGGCATGGTGGGGCACACCTGTAAACCCAGGAGGCTAAGGCAGGAGGATCACCACAACTTCCAGGCCAGCCTGGAACACTGTCTCCAAAATAAACAAATGAATAAGTAAATAGAATTGGTTGACTCTACCCCCAGCTTTGGCTCTGTGAAGCAGGCGGTTTCCTTCTACCCTCCTCCTCCTGTCCTCCCCGCCCTGAGCTCCAGATGAACTGGGAGTCCTTTCCCTGCATAGGCAGGTGGCCTTTATAAAAGCAGCCTCCTCCCAAGCTGACAGTGTGCTCCTCCCAGGGGTGTCCCTCTCCCAGGATGAGCTCTTTGAGGCGGAGGGAGCCCACTACTGAGCCTCCCATCTCCATCCCAAGGGGAATGGGGAGTCTGGAAACTTAGATACTAACCGTTTACTGAATCAGTTTGCTGACTGGAAAGTGCATTTATGAATGTATAGCTCTGTGTGTGTCTGAATGTGTGTGTGTGTGTGTGTGTGTGTGTGTGTGTGTATGTGTGTGTGTGTGTGATGATGTAGACCGAACCCAGGGTCACTTCTCCTGAGCAATATCCCTCACCCTTTTTATATTTTATTTTGAGACAAGGACTGTTATGGATTAAAAACTGGTGGGCAATTTAACATCAGCTGGATTACATCAGCAGGGCATTGAGCGTAGATGTCCCACCTGAGGGGAGTTGCCAGCGTAAATAGAAACATGGAGAAGGAGAAGCTATTGCATTGAGGCATTGTGAGTTCTCCTACGAGTTGCTGTTTGAACCATTGGTTCTCCTGGAGAAGCTCTGGTCCTCACATCGAGCATTGCTTCCTGGTTCCAGAGAGGAAGATGTGTGCTGCTTGGTCTCCAGGATGAACTCATCACACTGGCTTCCTGGCATGTACCCGACTGTGCTTGTCGTCGTTGGAGCTCGGGGCCTCCGTGTTGCTGAGGATGGCTGTGGTACTTTCAGGACAGCCCTGGTCTTTGTTGTGAGTGTGACTTCTTGGCTCCAGTGTAGAATCCTCATCCCACCAGCACAGCTCCTTCACCCTGCTGCCATGGATTTTCTAGCTTCCACCGCTGACCTTTAGGCCTTCCCAGCACGGATCTGTAAAAGAGACTGGCATGAGTCCTTCTTGTGGACTCCAGCTGGACTCCAACTAGACCTCCAGCTGGACTCATGAGAGGCATTGTCGTGAGCTCTGGGTCTTCATCTGGACTCATGTGGGACATTGCTGTGGGATTCAGGCCTTGGTTAAATATTTTATGTCTTTAGTATTGTGGGTAGATTTCCTGCACTTTCTTGTGTTAACTCTGGGTGACCATCATAAAATAATACTATAAACTTCATGTCCTGATTCTAATTGTTCTCTGCACAATCTCTGACTACAAGGACTAAGTTCCCCAAACTGGCTTCAAACTTATGACCCTCCTGGCTTGGCCTCCCCGGAAGCTATGGTTTACAGGTGCCCATCTTTGTGCCTGCCTTAGCATGTTTCCTCCTCACCCTCAACCCTCAAGGGCACAGGGCTCCCCATGACTATAGACTGACAAGTTAGGGACCAGACAGCAGCCTGAGAGACTCTGGGCCCAAGGCAGAGTCAGGATGACCAGGCCTTGGTCAAATAAGCAGCAGCCTGAGGTCAAGGGTTAGTATAAGGACCAGGAGGATGATTGGGTTGGGATGTGACAAGTGAGGTGACCACATGGTGATGGGGGTTCCTATGGCAACTGCTCTGACCTATCTGGAAAATGTTTTTCCCTGATTATTTTGCTTGAATAGGACAGAAGCCAGGCAGCACCTGTGACATACATTCACCATGCCTCTCCTTCTCACGGGCCCATTTCTAGTGTAGGTGAGCTTGGTTTAGTCCTGTAGGCTGGGTTTGGTTTGGCTCAGAGTGGTCTGAATCCTGGTTGCTTTGGCATAAAACACCTAGACACAGAGTCCCCATGACAACCCACGTTTATGCCCCACCTAATTACTGGAAGCCATTTCTCCTTCTTAATGAGTAGCCCTTGTGTGTATGTCCCTTGCCATTCCCCTAGTTCTTTGACATTATGAAACGAAAACCTGGACTTTGCTGTGACTCCACCAGGAGGGACTTGGCTTCCCTTCCACCACTGGGCAAGCCCATGGCCAGCACCTAAAGGCCCTGTGGCTAATAAAATCCCTTTCTTGGTTTCTACAAAACAGTAAAAGATAAAAAAAAAAAAAAAAAAAAAAACAGCGAGGAGGAGCAAAGACGGCAGATAGATAACAACTGGCTACAGAGGCTCTCTGAGATAGTCAACTTAGAATTCAACATAATACAGAGTGGGGAGCCCCAAACAGAGGGAGATGAATTCTCTCATCCCAAGAAGAAATTAAGGCGACTTACTGACCATCCGAGGTCCCACCGCAACTTGGTGAGGTCCCGCCGCATCTTGCCGAGGCGTCCGAGGTTCCTGCCGCTTTGACTCACTGGAGGCACAGTTACATTGAGTTCAGGGGTCAGTGAGCCAAATGGAGAGCTGAGTTTTGCAGGGTGCTTTCATCAACCTGTGGTGAGTGACAGAAGTGGAGCCATTCCATAAATAGGGCTCTGGAGAATGACATTCAGGAACCAGGCAGGACTGGCAGATACAAGGGACAGCAGTGACTTCAGTCATTGTTCCCTTCCCAAACAGGATTGGTGGAGTGGGCTAGGCCTGGGTCACATGACCCGGCTGAGACCCAATAGGTTATCCAAAATCAAGTCCCAACAGGTTGCGCATACTAACCACACTAACTCAGTGAAGCCTCAGAAGTTTGACTGATTTGGAGGGGAGGCAGCCAAAAGGAGGAGAGGGGTCAGCATATACTGCCTCTGTCTGCAACTCACTAGCACACTGCAGTAGGAAGGGTCATCTAGGCAGTGTGCTTCAGAAGAATTGTAACCAACAAAGAAAGAAACTGGGGCCTCCTGGAAGAAACAAAAAAGATGGGAAGAGGAAGCAACAACAAAAAGTTACCAGGTCCCAACCCTGAGAACATTGACCCAGGACAGGTAAATACAAAGGAGAAAGAGAACAGCAAACATGCAATATCAGACATGGTGCCAGTGGACATAAAGAGATATATTCGGGACCTCACAGATGAGTTCAAAAGTGAAATATTTAGCCAAGTAAAGCAAGATATAAGAAGGTTAATAAAAGAGATACTAAGCACCCCTCAAGCAGACACAGACGGAAGAAGGGAGGAACTCAAACAAAAGAGAGAACCATTTGATGAAGAATATAAACAAAATATAGAATACATGAAGCAGATTCAAAGAGATCACCAGGAAATTAGAAAGTCTATGGAAAGATGGCAAATCTGCTTGAAAGAAACTAAGGATAGATTATCCAAACTGGAGGACAATTTTGCAATGTGGGAGTATGAAAGGGAAAACTTTTTAAAAATAACAAGGAAACAAGCAGTAACAATACAAAGGCTAGAAGACGACAAAAGAATCTATAACTTGAGAATAAAGAATGTGAATGAAAAAGCTGGGGTACAAACAAAGGAACTACAAAGGTTATTCACAGAAACAATTAAGGAAAACTTCCCAAACATAGGAAAAGGAAATGATATTCTGATATATGAGGCATACAGAACTCCAGCCACCCACAACCAAAACAGAGCTACACCCAGGCATATGATGATCAAGACCCCAGAAATTCAATATAAGAACAGAATATTAAAAGCTGTTAGAGACAAGAAACAGATAACCTATAGAGGAAGGCCGATCACAATCACAGCCGACTTCTCGACACAAACCATCAAGTCAAGAAGAGCCTGGAGTGTAATATTCCAAGCCCTGAAATAAAATAACCTCCAGCCCAGATTGATATACCTTGCTAAACTGTCTCTAGACATTAATGGAGAAACAAGATGCTTCCAAGACAAAGAGGAACTTGGGAAATTCACAATCACCAATCCAACTCTACAGAGAATACTATAGGGCATTCTAGAGAGAGAGAGAAAAGTACTAGGATTCCAGGAACAGTGGCAGAGAGGCCTCAATGAATGGAGAGAAAACAGAATGAAGAAGACAAGCAGACAACTGATGGCAAAAAAAGAGCATAACAGAAATGAGGCAGAGAAGATTTTATTCAAAACTGATATGATTGATAGTATCAAGTCTGAGGATATAGGCAACTACACTGAAGATGACAAGACTCAACAATATACATTCTGGTTTGATAACTGCCTGTTTTTGAAGTTCTATACTACATACAAAGTTGGATTTTTATTAATACTGTTATGTACTGATATATTCAATTATACTATGTCTGATGATATAGCCAGTTCTATTGGAGATAACAAGAGACAACACAGGAACCATGGTAGAACTCTTTGTACAAAGGTCTTATATGTTTATTTCATGTGTTTATAGGAATATGTTTTGTTTTGTCTTGCTTTGTTTTGTTTCTCCCTCTAATATAGAAAGGATAGAAATACATGTTAAGTCTCATGCATGTGTAGAATCTATAAACAGATTATAAGAACTGATCTTATGACACATGATGAAATGAACAGATACTTTGAAGAAAAAGAGACACTAAAATACCCAGTGCTGATCCTGGAGTGTCATAATGTGAAACCCAGCAATAGTATTATTCTTTGTTCAGATGATATTAGCCTGCTTGGGTTTATTCAGTCTCAACCTAATTGAAGATATGGATAACTGCATGTATGTTTTAAGTGTGTAAGATTGATAACCATATTTCTAAGTTTTTGTTGGATAGTTGAACAGAACTGGTTGCATTCTCACTGTTTGAATCCCCACTTTACATGCTCCACTTTAATATCCTGAATAACTATTTGTAAGAGGACAATCCGTAATCATCAACTAGTGATTTCTTACTGTTTATTTTTTTCTTTGAAATTATGTTTTATTTCTACCCCTTTTCTGTTTTGTTTAGTCTTTCTTTAAATTAAATTTTTTAAAAAAAGATACTACAGTACCCAGTGCTGATCATGGAGTGTCACGATGTGAAATCCAGCAAAACTATTATTCTTTGTTCAGAATGATTTTAACCTGCTTTGGTTTGTTTAATCTCAACATAAATGAAGATATGGATAACTGCATGTATGTTTAAGTGTATAGGATTGATAACCGTGTTACTAAGTTTCTGTTGGATAGTTGAACAGAACTGTTTGCAGTCTCGCTGTTTGAATTCCCACTTTATATGTTCCATTTTTGTATCTTGAACAACTATTTGTAAAACGACAATATGTAAACATCAACTAGTGATTTCTTACTGTTTATTTTTTCTCTAATCATATGTATTATTTCTGCCTATTTTCTGTTTTGTTTAATCTTTCTTTAAATTAAAAAAAAAAAACCAGCACCAAGTCCAAGGAGTGGTGTTTCTGTGTACTTTTAGTGGGGGCCAGAATTGCAGAGGCACCAGGGACAAAGTGTTTGCATTTTCTTTTTTTGTCTTTTTTGAGATGGGGTCTCACTATGCAGTTCAGGCTGGCCTTGAGCTCACTTTGTAGCCCAGGCTGGTCTGGAACTCGCAACGATCCTCCCACCTCAGCCTCCTGAGTGCTGGGATTACAGGCGTGAGCCACCATGCCCGGTTAAATGTTCGCATTTTTAAGTTGCGGGATCATCTGCCACCTGTGCTAACCCGCAGGGGAGCTATTACCCCTGGGGCAGAGATGGACGCATCCATAGACTTCCTAGGACGGGACGCTGGGCATGCATGCGTGTGTGAGTTTAGCTCTGTTTAGGGAAGAGCTGCATTTGGTGCTCTTGGCCACGAGTTCAGTGTTTATGAGTCACAAATATGATTCACCCCCCAGAATTTGGAGAGGGGATTTGCTCATCATGCTTGAGAGCCACCTGCTGTACCACAGACACACAGCTGCGGAAGTGACAGGAAAGCAGTGGATTGATGGACTCAGAGCTGATGACTCTCAAAACTGCTGGGTGGAAACTTGGGGGGCAGGTTACTACAGAAAGAAACAGTGGTGGACCCTGGGTCAGGACCGCTTTGAACCTTCCTTGGGGAGCATTGGCTGCCCTGCGTGCCTTGAAAACAGCAGTGTGCAAATGTTAAACCATCCAGCAAACCTTGCTGTACAGGAAAACATTTCTTTTGGAAAAGAGCACATTTTCAACATTGGTGACAGTCACTTGACTTACCAGGACGTTGGCAAATGGACCCACCTCATTAGAAGGCTTTTCGGTTGATGAAAACACTGTGGCCAGAGGCTCAGAGGATCTGTACCCTGTGCTTCAGCCCTTGATACCCTGGGGTATTGGTTCCAGGATGCCACTGGTATCAGTCTCACAAATGATGGGATTAGGGACATGGCCCAATGGAGTACTTGCCTAGCACGCACCAACCTGTTCAATCCCCAGCACACATGCATGTGAACACATACACATGCAAACACATACACACACACACAGACATGTACACGTTTTTCTTTTGTTTTGTAAGATTTTCCAGTGTAGAAGGTGATTTCCCCTGTTCCTTTCCCTGATTTCCCAGAGATTTCTCCTATCCTATCCAAATATTTTTGCTTTTTAGCTCAGCAGTCATCCTGTACAGTTGCACACACCTCCGACTGCACAATGATGGGGGTGGAGATGGTACTGAAATCAACGCCAGGTAACACCCACACAGTACTTTCTCTGGCCAAGACAAAACACCAAGGACTTTAATTTTCACAAAATTCCTGTAAGACTGTTGTTATAATCTTGATTCCACACAGGAGGTGCAGAGAAGTCAAGCGCCTGCCAAGGCTCTTCAGCCCTCGGGTGGCAAAAGTGGACTCTGAGGCCAGGCATTCTGGACCGTTTGCCGTCACTTTCCCTGCCCCTCCCCCTCACTGCTTTGGCTTTTCTCAGGTTAACATTCATCTTTCACTGCTGACTTGCTTTTCTGTATTCACCACTTACAAGCTTCACCTTCTCCTCCAGCTGTGACACAGACACATCAGCACAGCCCTGGGACGGGTCATCTCAGGGCCAGCTTCCAGCTGCAAAGCTGGGCTTTCTCTCCCATCCTGCCCCGGGGAAATCTTTATCTCTTCTGTTTGGAAAAGTTTGCTGAGCTCTGTCAATATCGTTTTTGTTTCCTTTTCTCATTTTGGTCTATGTCTTCCCAGCTTCTTAAGACGATGGAGTGAAAAGTTTCATGTTGGAAACTGCATGTCTCAGTGTTTCTTTTTTTTTTTTTTTTTAATTTTATTTAAAGAAAGACTAAACAAAACAGAAAATGGGTAGAAATAATACATACGTTCAGAGAAAAAATAAACAGTAAGAAATCACTAGTTGATGTTTACATATTGTCGTTTTACAAATAGTTGTTCAAAGTACAAAAATGGAACATATAAAGTAGGAATTCAAACAGCGAGACTGCAGTAACACAGTTATCAATCCAATATACTTAAACATACATGCAGTTGTCCATATCTTCATTTATGTTGAGATCAAACAAACCAAAACAGGTTAAAATCATTCTGAACAAAGAATAATAGTTTTGCTGGATTTCACATCATGATACTCCATAATC